AGTCTATCTGCACATCACAGGGTGTATTTTAGGAATCCTTTCAGGCCTTTTCCTGGTCGAGTCCTGCCTGGTTGGAGTCCCACCACTGGCACCCCAGCAGTTGTGCTCTTCCCATTGCTGCCATTCTTGCGGCAGCCTTACAAAGCCATTAGTGAATACGAGTCCTGAGATATATTTAGCTAAAATACATACAAGTGACAAACACTGCTGGTCAGTAATGCATGAAGAGCTTTTGTCCCAGGGGATAGAGTGGCTTTGCAAAAGGCAAATTGCAGGAAGAAAAGCTTTGGTTTTGGGAGTGTGTTTAGTGCCTATAAAGTTCAATGGAGAGAATTGTGCTGACTTCACTGGGGGAAGATTATACTTGTGCTACGGATATTTTCAGTAGGAATAGTTAAAATAAATGATGTGGGGCCTGTTCTTTTGTGTTCATTTAAAGGCTTCTTGAATCACAATGAGGAAAACCAGGCTTAAACCCTTGTCAAACTGCCAACCTAGGCTTAAGTTGGAAGTGCCATGGTTTAACTGGAAAAGGTAAGAATTAACCTTTAACAGCAGGAGCAGACCTCCACTGCTGTGGCCTGCAGTGTGGTCCAGAACAGCATCGTGTTATTCTGCCATGGCTGTGTTAGTATGGGTCATTAACATCCATGTGCTGTCTAATGAAGTGATGAGAGATGATGGATCTGCCGAGTCATGGAATAAACCCTTATAAGAACAGTTTTGCCCTCAAAATCTGTCTGATCCCTTGCAACCAATCCATGAGTGTCAGTAATGCATCCGCTCCATCTCCCCGGTCTTGTTTGGCTGCAAGCAAGTAGAGAAGGGAGGTAGCAGCAGTGATCCATTTGGGTGGTGTGGGGTGAAGAAAGGAAGAGACTTTAAATATTGTTTGCTAGAAATACCTGAGGTGGAAATGTTAACTGTGTGTTCTGGGGAAAATCTGCTCTCTGATTTGATTTGGCTCCTGATGCACACCTGGAGATGGTGGTTTCTGCTGTAATAGTCAGTCAGTTACAATAAGGCCAGGTTGGACAGGGCTTAGGGCAACCTGCTATAGTGGAAGATGTCCCTGCTTATGGCAGGGGGTTGGAACTGGGTGAGCTGTAAGTTCCTTTCCATGATTCTGTCATTCTGTAATGGGGCATTTTCTAGTTCCCCAGTAGAAATAATATTAGAAATAATAATAATATTCTATTCCAATTTCCCATTATTTTCTTCAGGTGCTGAAGCAACAGCATAAAAATGCTGATTCAGACATGCCAGGTGATGGGCTTGTGTGTTATAACCATTCCCATTTCAGCCAGTGTGGCTGTAACCATTCCCACTGTGGCCAGAGCTGCTGTAGGAACTGGCCTCCCCTAGCTGCCATTGCCTAGGAGCAGAGAAGAGGGAAAACATCCCCAGGTTCATACCAGCCCTGGTCCCAGGCTGCTCACATGGAGGCTTTTTGCTGGGCTGGGAAGTGATACCAGTGCTGGAGCTGTCCCTGCCACCCTCCTTCTGCCCTGCTCATGGTGATGCTCAGCCATTCCTGAGGTGGGGCTCAGCAGCGTGGCTGTGGGACCAGCAAGCTGGAGGTGGGTACATGAAGCTGCTGTGCAGGGGAAGGGAGCCTCAGGCACCCAGCCCTCCCCTGAGGTTCCCTTCATCAGACATGCAAATCAGTATCTGCTCATTAGTTATGCAAATCAGAGCAGAGAATCACTTGCAAAAGGATCTTCAGGTTTCTGAACCTTTCACTCGTCTGCTTTCATCCTTCTTTGTCCTTGTACCATCCTGGTTGCAGTTGAGACCAAGGTCACTTGTGTTTGTAAGCGACGGTAAAACACACCGAAATGATCTTAAACAGGGACAGATGTTCTCCAAACGCACGACTTGCTGGTCAGGCCTCCTTGGCTGTCATCAGAAACTTCATAGAAAACATCACTTGCCTCCTTCCCATCTCCAGCATTCATTGGTTTGCAATAACATTTACCTAAACTCAATCATAAAACACACAGAACATCTGTAGGTGAGTGCCAGGTTCTTCATGGTTCACCTTTAGGTGTTATTCCAGCCCAGGTTATGTTCAGTTCAGGCTGAAAGCTTGTACTGCATCACGACATTAAACTCAATCCACAGAGTTTATTTGTATTCCACATCCATCCATGCTCTTTATGAGCATGAAAAACTAGAAAGCATAAATATTTATTCCTCAAAGGTCAAGATTGCCTTAAATCATTCAAGCTTGTTTGGTGAGCATCAGATGTAATTAAACTGAGCAGTTGAACTCAATCTGCAGATATGAAATAATGTGTATATATATATATATATATATGTATATGCTTGGCTCCAGTATGGACAGAAGGTGGGAGCTAATTGCTTCCATCACACCAAAAGATGCACTGATAATTTTGTTGTTCCTGCTTGTGATAATAAATCAACATAAAGAAACAGCTGAAATTGTATAATGGCAAGTCATGTTTGAACATGGAGCAGGCACTGTGGTAACAAAATGAGCAGAGCTCATCCCATGTGTCCAACTAGAGGGACATAATTAAGCACATTATGCAAATTGTTCCAATTTTGGGTGTAGAGAATTGACCCTAATTGCCTGTGTACCAAAATCCACGTGCACACCTTAATGTGAGCCTCCAGCAGCCTGCTGTCCCTATAAGCTTCTGTATGTGTCCCATGTGTTCTTCAGGTGCTGTGTGGCCACAGAGAGCTTCAGCAGCAGGAGGGGACCAGGTCCAAACCTGTTCCAGGGCATGGGTTCACATCTGGAAGCATGGACATTAAAGGGCAAAGTGGAGATTCCTGGTCGTGCTCATCTCCAGTATGATTTGGATTTGTTGCTGTCTTTATGATCATCTTTAATACCTTAAGATGATGACCATCTTTAAGGTGATGACTGCCATCATTAAGATGGTCATTTTCGATATATTTAGAATCATTGTGTTGCCCTTCCCAAGGGTATTATTGTAATGCAAGGCGTTCACATGCACATACCTCATTCAAGACTGATTTTAATCAGATTCTGAAAGCAATAGGATGAAAGTGTCCTTTTTGTTGTCATCAAATTTACAAAATCACAGAATGGTTTGGGTTGGAAAGGACCTTAAATCTCATCTAGCTTCAGCCCCCAGTTAGTTTGAGAAACCAAAGAAAACAACACTTGCTTTATGAAATATTACTCATGGAATTAATTGTGTAGTAATGTAACCGAAGTTATAGATGGGAATCCTACCTTAAGAAATGGTCTCCAAGGATGTGGAAATCAGCACTTCAGTCTGTTCATGTGGGCATCCTGCTGGGTGTCTCCGTAAAGCTGGAGGTGCTGTTGTGAGTCTGCTGTCATGTGGGTTGCTCCATATAATTAGAGGCACCTTAGACTTTGGTGTAGGAATTGATGGTTCCTCAGCGTTTCTTTATATCCAGAGAGCTCATCAAAGGTAATAGTTTTGCCAGGGGCTTTGACAGGAGCATTAAAAAGAAGCTGTCATTGCCTGAGGTCTGAACAGCAGCTTGGGCAGGAGAATGGCTCACTGCCTCGTTAGAGATGGCCAAGTTACGAGTGCCTCCTGTGATGTTGTGCTGCAGGTAGCACAGCAAACATCACACTGACCTGTTCCTCTTCCGTACATGCTTCATTTGTCATTCTTTCTTCAAAGCAAGTATGGATTAAACTTAGTACTTTGCAGGGTATGTTCTTTATCGTGCTCCTGATCATGTCTTGCAGGAATTTCTCTTATCCTGATGATGACAGGGAAAAAAAAAAGAGAAATAATCATATCTTTCTTTCCCTTTTCTGGTGTTTTCCTGCAGCTGCTTGTAGCCATGTCCCCAGGCAGCCCATGCTGCTGCTGTTGCAGGGTCATTGTCAGCAGGTTCTGCTGTCCCAGGGGGGAGGCCACCAGAAGAACAGCATGGGGCTGCTTTGTTGGGACAGGCAGTGCATCACAGAGGTTTTGCTATCGCTGTCTCCTCCCTCTCCCTGCTCCATCAGTGTTAACTCTCTAGGAGCATCCTTTGGTGCCTGTTTCACTTGTTCTAGACCATCACCGGTCTGTGGAGGGTTCCCACTCACCAGGTCAGACTGGGCACCAGGCCTGGGCATACTGTACACATTAAGGGTAAAGAAAATCTGTGCTTTATGTATGTATTTGCACAAGTCCAAAGTCCAGGTTCAGGTTTCCTGTGGCCCCTTTAGGCACTGAGAGTTGCTCTAAGGTCTCTCTGGAGCCTTATCCAGGCTGAACAAGCCCAACTCTCTCTTGCCAGCTCAGTTTTCAGATGGTGGCTTGTACACAGCATATGAAGACTGCTAATGGGGCACTGGAATGTCCATCTGAAATGATATGTGCTATGGGTCATTCAGGTTCTGAGACATGGTTTCGTGAACAGTTAATGGGAAGCTGATGCTCAAGGTTTCACCTCAAATTTGCTGATAGTCGCAAATTCCCAAGGATTAAGTAGCTTGGTTTAATTGGCGCAGTGCTAGCAGCAGACCGGGATTACTGATTTAACGTGAATGACATATAGTAGGAATGTAGTGATTTTCTGTTTTGTGCATTGTCAGAGCAGACTGGGATTCCCAGGGATAAAGCTGCTGGTTTATACTATCAGCAAATTCAAAGGATACAGTGGAACACAAAGAGTTTGTGGTGAATTAACAGTAGAAACTGGAGGTCTGTTATTTAACCTTAAATAAGAAAACTAATCTTGCTGTAAGCTGTTCTGAAGGCATTCATATATCCTTGATGTTCTTATCTTAAGGCCGTGTTTTATTAATTTAAGATTTCCACCAATGCTTATTTCGTGTGAATTGATGGACATCGTGGCCAGAGTAGACCAATAATTCAAGTAACACAACCCTCCTGTTCTACCATGCAGGCAGGCATAGGGAGAAATGGTTAGCAGGAGGTTAAAAGAGCATCTGTGGGAAAAGAGAGCTTTTTAAAGGCATTTTTGTTTACTGGAAAAAACCCAAATGTTTCCTTGTGGTTTGAATGCAGGTTCCGCCTCCAGAATGGATGCTCACGTGGGTCCCTTGATGCCAACGCAAGTCACCCGTGTAACGGCTGTGTCTGCACCGACGGTGACGTTCATGGCAACCAATTTGATGGATCAGGCCCTAGCAGGTGTGTTTATGGTTCTAAACACTGATTATATTACTGAAGCATATGTTGTGTATTTGCATACTTCCAAACCGTCTTTCCATACTGCATAGAAATGGGGGAACCTTAAAAAATCAGCTCAAATTTTATGACATTTGCTTTAGCTCATTACGAGTGTGTTCAGAGGGGTTTGGATCCTGTGTGCTCGGCCTGGCAGTTGCTTTGCATTTGATGATACAAAAGGCAAGTTTCTGAAATGTCCTTGGGCTTTTCATGTCCCATGCCAGTGGTATTCACAAGCATTACAGTGATAATGTGGTTATCTTTTGGATAGTTGCTCCATGAAGGCTCGTTGGCTGGAGCCTCGGAGGATGCTTTGTGCTGTACAGTGTGATAAAGCTGGTTCATTTACTGTCATGTAAATGTGTGTGTGTGCTATTGTGAGAGAAGGGGCAGTGCTGTTCCCAAAGGCTGGAGGGAGTCTTCTGGCTTTGTTCAGATTCACACATGTGCCTTGCAAATCATAATCAAAATCAGATTTTGATAGGAAGTTGGGTACATCATTGATCTCCCCTGCAGCCCTGATCCAGCTCTGGGGCAGCAGCGCAAGAGGGACGTGGAGCTGTTGGAGCGAGGCCAGAGGAGGCCATGGAGATGCTGCGAGGGCTGGAGCAGCTCTGCTCTGGAGCCAGGCTGAGAGAGCTGGGCTGGGGCAGCCTGGAGAAGAGAAGGCTCCTGAAGGGGAGACCTGAGAGCAGCTCCAGTGCCTAAAGGGGCTGCAGGAAAGCTGGAGAGGGGCTTGGGACAAGGGCCTGTAGGGACAGGCCAAGGGGAATGGCTTGAACCTGCCCGAGGGGAGACTGAGCTGAGCTCTTAGGCAGAAGCTCTTCCCTGTGAGGGTGCTGAGGCGCTGGCACAGGGTGCCCAGAGAAGCTGTGGCTGCCCCATCCCTGGCAGTGCTCAAGGCCAGGTTGGACACAGGGGCTTGGAGCAAGCTGCTCCAGTGGAAGGGGTCCCTGCCTGTGGCAGGGGTTGGAGCTGAATGAGCTTTAAGGTCCCTTCCAACCCAAACCAGGCTGGGGTTCTATAGTCATCTATGTGTGCACTTCAAGTAAAATCCAATCAATGGAATAATTTAGAATCAAAATTTTAAACTAATGGAGGTTTGGCTTCTAAGTACTTTTGCAAATGGTTTAATCTCTTGTCCATAGCTTCTTGTGGCACGAATAAATCTTCCCTCTTTCCTCTCCCTAATTCTGCTTTTAATGAGATGTTTATGATCACACACCTACATCCTCTGTGATATACCCAAGACAGTTTTGCTACTTCACCTTTATTTTTCATACTGTGAATTATTCATGGCTCTCTACCTGCTGTGGAGCCTCAGAGATGTGTCTTTAATCAGACATCTTTATCCTCCCATCTCCAGTGCATCCGTTGGCGGCATTATAGCAAGCGCGGGAACACATAATCAGTAATTGTACTGCTGAGTTTAGGGGTAAAAAAAGGTGTGTGATTATGTTGAAAACATGTCAGGGTAGCTTAATTGTCAGGTTGTGGGGTTTTATATGTACAGAAGTTAAAGGGGGGGGAAAGAGTTTAATTAATGAGAAAAGAGTGATCCTGAGCAAAGACATGCACTGGTTGCTGCTGGAGGGTCTTGCTGGCTGGCTGTTCCTGGTGTGTTCAGAGAAGTCTCTAAGGATCTGGGCAGGGGGAGTATGGGGATGCTGCGAGGGCTGGAGCAGCTCTGCTCTGGAGCCAGGCTGAGAGAGCTGGGCTGGATCAGCCTGGAGAAGAGAAGGCTCCTGAAGGGGAGACCTGAGAGCAGCTCCAGTGCCTGGATGAGCTCTGAGGTCCCTTCCAACTGAAACCAGTCTGGGATTCTGCGATCTAAGGAAGTTCTGCCAGCGTTCTGCTTAGGGCCCTCCTTTGGGAGCAGAGCGGGGCTGTGGCTCGGCAGCACAGGCTCCCTGCCTCCCCCAGGGCAGTTGCAGGTCTGACACCTTGCTTTTCAGGAGCTTGGTGTCCCTCCATAGCAAAGTGAGTCTGAGCTGAGGTGTGCTCCTGCCCTGGCGTGTGTTCCCTGCTCCATGGGCACCAAGTGACTGCTGAGCTCGAGGGCAGAATACAAGGTCAGGTTATTTTTTCTTTACATGACATGGAAACCGGTCTCAATGTTCAACCATCGATATAAAGATAAATGACTCCTGACGTGCACAGTGACTTTCAGGACTTTCTGTTATTTTATGGGTCTTTTATTTCCATCTTATTTCCTATATGCTGACTGTCCAGAATGCTGTGTAGGTATATTGCACATGTGAATGCCTAATGCACTGCATGCTGCAGAAATTCACTGACATGTGCTGTGCTCTTGGTGCTGTACTTCAAGCAAAACCTACAGCACCCAGGCTCCTCCCTGGGGCTTCTGCTTTCCAGTTTGCATGCAGCGAGGGGGCTTTTTAAAGGGGGAAGGAAAAGAGGTTGACTTTGGCCTTTGCAGCACAGTGTTTCCATGCTGAGGATGTGTAAGATTCAAAGGGCAGTGAGAATGGCTGCAGTGTGCAAGAGCTGCGTCCCTGCTCCATGCTTCAACCCAATCTTCATCTATGAAAGAGCAGGGGAAGAGCAGCAGTAATAAAAGTACTTACCCCATATGTGGTACCTTCCTTTGCCCCAAGCTGGAGCTCCCAGCGCTGTGCCAAGGCTGGTTTAGGTTCTCCTATTTCATTTCCTCAGCATCAGCTGTGGGAAAACCCTCTGCTGGATTTCACATGTGCAAAGGTTTGTTTAAATCTGCCAACTGACAGCTCTGTATTGGCGTTAATGCTTCCAAAGCCAGGCCGATGAGTTGTCGTGTTCCTCATCCATGTGTGTGTGTGCATCTACATGAATGAAACATCGTGACTCCTTCTTAAACCAGTGTGATAATGAAGACTACAAAGGAAGCAAAATTCTAATAATAAGAAAAATCTTGCTTTTTTTTTCCCTTGTGAAATAGAAGGGGAAAGAAGCAGAGCTGGGGGAGGGGTTGGTGGGATTTCCCTGCAAATCTAAACTGAAATCCCAGCTTTGTTAGGCATCCTTTCCCAAGTGCTGCTGCTCCGTGTCCGAGTGACAGAATCCAAGCAGCCTTGTTTGTGTCTCTTCCATCCCTCCCAGGCTTGTTGCTCCGAGGGCTGTTTCATGACAAGAGCAGGAAATGCTGAGGCATACCATGCCACTCAGCAGCGCTGCCCTGAAAGGCTCCTAGCACATGGACAACCATGGTGCCTGTGCCAAATGTGCCCAAGCAGAATGTGCCTGGCACCAGATGTGCGCCTGCAAAGGGATCCCAACCTTGGGCTTTAAACTGCTATGAAATCAATGACGTGCAAAGGACCCTTTGCTGTGGAGGCGCATGTGAAAAGGTTCCTTTAATCCCCTACACGTGTATTTTGGTTCAAACCCCTTGTCAGAAAGGAGGTGGCTGTACAGGACCCATTCACCAGCCGTGCTGAGGGCTGGCTCGTTGCACGCCATGGGAGTGGAGAACAAGCCACCAAGGGTGTCCCTGGGGCAGAGCAGTTGGAATGACAGGAAAACACAGGGCGGATAATGAAATACCTCCATGACATAGCCCAGAAACTGCGCTCTGTCTTCCTGCTGTGCGTTAGAGATGGAGAATGTATTAGCACAGTTTAATTGAAGCGAGGTTCCTTGACTGTGGCTCCAGGTCTCTCCGGGCAGTGCATGCAGGAAGCATCCTTGGTCCTTGGCTCTCCTTCTACTCTGTGGAGGTGGGTGCTCGGGGCCTGGCTGAAGCCGGTGTGACAGTACCATGTTCAAAGACCCACGTGCCCCACATCACTTTGATTCCCAATTACCAGATGTCAAGGGAAGAAAGATAAATTTAGAGACCCTTTTGATATGTATTAGCAGCTCCCTATGCCTCGCTCCTTTAATGTGGAAATTAATTGCTATGATTTGTAAAGCTTCTTTTTCGCTGCCCATAAAAATTAAGTCATCTTCTGAGAAAAACGACATTTGTTTAAATATTTATCATTCTGATATATTCCATGGTGAAGCAAACGGCTCAGGCTCCACCTTTCCCTCAGTATAGCCCCTGATACATGTCGCCTATGCTGTAGTCTGAGTGATTTTGAAATGAAATGAGGAGTATTTTGATGTGTGAATCTGCCATGTAACATGCAGCCCTACAGAAGCCCTGCTTGCAAAGAGTTTCTTGAAGCTACTGCACCGAAGCTTTGTCTGTTAGGCAGACAGAATGTGCTCCAAAAGTGGAGTAGGATAAGGATGGAAAAGTATGGATAAGGGGTAAGGTATGTCATGGCTTGCTGGGTGGGGGTTTTGTGGTGGGGGGGTTGGGTGTGGGGGTTTTTGGGTTTTTGTGGGGTGGGTGGGGTGGGGGGGTTGTGGGTTTTTTTGGGTTGGTGGGTTTGTGTTTTTGGTGTTTGTGGGGGGGTTGGTGTGTTTTTGGGTTTTTTTTGTGATACTGTGATACTGTGATACACTGGTAGTAGCAGCCGCTGTTTGCAGTGCAAGGCTGCACCTGAGCTCTGCAAGGAGCCTGTGTGGTGCATAGGGTGCGGTGTAGGGTGGGTGCAGAGCTGATGAGGAGGGATCACTGTGCTCCTGACTTCGAGATGCTGGAGCCTCCCTTGGCAATATAACTGCTGTACTGGAACTCCTCAGGTACAGAAAGGCTTTGGTGATGATCCCACATCACGTGTGGGGGTTTGTCATATGTGAGTTGGAACATCATCATTATTTGGAAGGTTGAGCTGAGCTCTTAGGCAGAAGCTCTTCCCTGTGAGGGTGCTGAGGCGCTGGCACAGGGTGCCCAGAGAAGCTGTGGCTGCCCCATCCCTGGCAGTGCTCAAGGCCAGGTTGGACACAGGGGCTTGGAGCAAGCTGCTCCAGTGGAAGGGGTCCCTGCACGTGGCAGGGGTTGGAGCTGGAGGAGCTTTGAGGTTCCTTCCAGCACAAACTGGTCTGCGATCCTATGAATAAACAAGAGCAGTTAGACAAGGAACTTGACGATCTTAAGGTCCTTTCCAACCCTAACTGTTCTGTGATTCTATGATGATTCTATCATTCTGTGCGCATGGCTGCAGGGCTATGACGTTATTGGCAACATTTAGATATGGTGGGATGGCTTCTGTGCCTGGAGCGTTGGAATGGAAGGGTACAGGCTCTTTGGGAAGGAGAGGAAGGGGAGACAAGGTGGAGGTGCCACCCCCTGTGTCAGTGACTGGCTGGAGGGCATGGGGATAGGTGAGGAGCCAACCAAGAGCTCACGCAACAGGATTCTGCTTTGTTCCAGGTTCAGGGAGAGCAGGATGAAAATCTCAGAGCAATAAACTGCTCACTGTGAAGTGTATGAATGTGTCCCATTGAAACACAGGATGATATTTAGACAGGCAATATGGTCCTCAGCACACATATGTGTTACACACACGTATGCGTGTCAGTAAGGGAGTGAGGAGGAAGAGGGGAAGAGGCAACAGGGAGGGACTGGGTTTAATTCACCAGCTGTGGCTCGTTGGGAGTGTATTTATTGCCCATTAAAAAGAAATCCTTTTCCCTCACAGATAATGGCAAGGAATCGAGTCGATCCTCCTGCCCACCCGCCTTGATTCTGCACGCGGAGAGGAAGAGCACCCCTGTGCACAGCACTGGCGAGAAGGTCTGTGGAGGGGGGGTATTCTTTAAACCTCTTTGAACCATGGAATGGCCCAAATCCAAGTCAGGATAAGGCACCGTCCTCTGGCTGGAGCTGTGCTGCTGATACAGGATGGTTTCCTAGGGTCGATTTTAAAGAGCTATCTACCTAATTTATCTTGGTTTATAGGAGCTCTGTCACTGTAGTGTCAGGGTATCAGAGGAGGGCTGCTCACGGCTGGGTTTGATGCTCACGGCTGGGTTTTCTCCCCATACTGGAGGAGAAGTGAGTCTCGGGGTGGGTGTGTGTGTGTGCATATGTGGAGCTGTGGCACAGCCCACGAAGCAATTCATGTGCTGAGAAGCTGCGATCGAATCACAGTGTCTGTGATTTGCTGTCTCACTGCAGTGGCAGTGACCTGTGGAGGTGGCTCAGCCCCTGCTGAGGGCAGGATCATCCCCTCGGTGGGTGTTGTGCTGCTTATTGCAATATCAGCCCCAGGGGCAAGAAAGAATTTATTCCTGCCCCCTTTTCATGTTACTGATTTGAATTGCTGTGCACTTCCAGAGCCCTCCTTTACAGGTAATTACATAGTCCGTAAATAAAAGCTCTTCATTAAAGGGGGCCTACAAGAAACCTGGAGAGGGGCTTTGGCCAAGGGCCTGTAGGGACAGGCCAAGGGGAATGGCTTGAACCTGCCCGAGGGGAGACTGAGCTGAGCTCTTAGGCAGAAGCTCTTCCCTGTGAGGGTGCTGAGGCGCTGGCACAGGGTGCCCAGAGAAGCTGTGGCTGCCCCATCCCTGGCAGTGCTCAAGGCCAGGTTGGACACAGGGGCTTGGAGCAAGCTGCTCCAGTGGAAGGTGTCCCTGCCAGTGGCAGGGCTTGGGAATGGGTGAGCTTTATGGTCCCTTCCAATACAAACCAGTTTGTGATCCTGTTCTATGATCCTTGTATTTTGATACTGCACTGAGCCACAGCACTGCCTTCCTCCCAAACCTCCCCTCGCAGTTCATTTCCATAAGCTTTTACAACAAATAGCTGTTCTTCAGCGGGTAAAACAGCACCTGTACTTGCTGGTTGCACCATACAACCTCCTGCATTGCCTGTTGCTCCATCCAAGCAGCCTGGCCCTGTCACAGGGGGATTTCTGCATCTCAGGCTGCAATATGCAATCATATCCAGTCTCCCCAGTGGGCTGTTGGTGTGGATAAAAGCGTGTCTGCTGGTTTTTCATTTCTATTGCTTTAAGTCAGGCGACGTTTTTATGATTCCCTGTTTAACTGGGCTATTCTCAAGGTAGCTGGTTGCTCATAAAGCCCCTTGTGGAATAATGGCCATGAGGCTGAGCCACTTCAAGTTAAAGGGAGTGATTTGTGTAGCAGTAGCAGCCTTCTGCATTGGCTTCATTTGCTGACTAATCTCTATCTGTCTTTCAAGGAGCATTCATTTAAACTAGTAAATGAGGATGACAGCTCATCCAGTGGCAACAGGCCCGTGGCATCCACTCCAGTGCCGGGATCACCATGGTAAGCGATTGCTAAAAGCCATTCAGCAGTGCTGTTTCCATTGCCAGAAATGCGTTAGTGCTCTGTTACATGGGGAAGATACACTGCCCTGGGTGTTACGTAGCAATGCTGGGTTCCTGTCCAAGCTTCCACTAGAGCTTCTAATTAATCTCATGATCCCAGTTCCTGACCATGCTCCCATTCAGGTTACTACATACTGGGTAACTACATCTCATAATAATTAGTTATACTTTATGGCTGGTCTAGAACCCCAGCATGGTTTGGGTTGGAAGGGACCTCAAAGCTCACCCAGCTCCAACCCCTGCCACGGGCAGGGACCCCTTCCACTGGAGCAGCTTGCTCCAAGCCCCTGTGTCCAACCTGGCCTTGAGCACTGCCAGGGATGGGGCAGCCACAGCTTCTCTGGGCACCCTGTGCCAGCGCCTCAGCACCCTAACAGGGAAGAGCTTCTGCCTAAGAGCTCAGCTCAGTCTCCCCTCGGGCAGGTTCAAGCCATTCCCCTTGGCCTATCTGTGGGATCTTTGGGTAAAGCACTCTATGTGGACATCAGCCATTATTTGTTATTATTATATTGTGCCATTTTACAGCCCACTGTTGTAAGCACAGTCCAACATCCTACTTAGTCTCAACATCATAAATAAATTATTTACATCAGTCATTTCTCTTCTTGACAATTGCTGCTCTGTATTGTAGTGCAGAGGAGCCATTTGAGTCCAGCAGTCTCATAAGTAGGTTATGGTTCCTTCCTTCTTACAGGAAAGAGCAGTAGCTGGTGGTACTCACAGTGGGATCTAACAGCACCCCCTCCTACAGCAGCATCTGCTTGGTGTGGGATGGGAATCCCAGACCTCCACTCACGTGCACCCCTCTCAGATCTAAGCTTGTGATATTTCAGTCTCTTAAGGAGAAACCCGGGATTTCTCGGTTTCCAGAGGACTGTTTAGTGTGTAGGGACCATTGGTTGAGGTGACAACTCCTGCAAGAAGAAGCTAGACCATAATTTTTAATGGCAGAAAAGTTGTCAGGCATTCACCTGATGGAATAAAAACCCCACTAACATCATTATCCTGTGCCCATACTCATTCTTAAATACAGTTTACTAAAGGGGAACATGATCATAACAATATCTCCATTTCCAGCTTCTGCTCTCTGACTGAAGCAACATACCACTTCTCCCCTTTGGATAACTGAAGCCATTATTATACCACAGGGGCAGAACTGATGTTACAGGGGGAAAGGGACTTTAATCTTAAATTAAATGTCAAATTATGCTAGTCATGGAAAATGAAGAGGTGTCAGCAAAGGACCCCAGAGTTTCTAACCTGTGGTGGTGCCACATGGGACATGGTGATACTCGGAGCTCAGGGAGCACCATCAACGTTGTGTGTGAGGCCAGAGGAGCCCTGTGCTCAGCAGCGTGCCCCTAGAGACAGAAAATGTGTTACCATCCAGCATCGCTGGCAGTGCTCAAGGCCAGGTTGGACACAGGGGCTTGGAGCAAGCTGTTCCAGTGGAAGGGGTCCCTGCCCGTGGCAGGGGTTGGAGCTGGAGGAGCTTTAAGGTCCCTTCCAACCCAAACCAGGCTGGGATTCTATGATAATCATCCCCTAACAGAGGATTAGAGCATGTCTTGTGGGGCTGTTTGTCATCCAAAACAGTTGTGCATCAAAATCAAGTTATTAAAATATTTGTCACATCCCTATCAGTGCATCCGGGGTGCCAGAACCTCCGTGGGGTGTGCCTCAAGTCCACAGCTGGGTTTGTACAGCCAGTTCTGTGCTCCTCCTTATTGGGAGATCATTTAACTCCACAGAACGTAATTACAGGGATTTTCAGGCTCAGGAGCACACTTATACCAAGTTGTTGCCATCACCCTGAAGCTTCCTCCATGGCTTCTTACAGGGGTTGTGCATCTTTCATTACACATCTGGGCAAGATCAGTGGTGATGTCTTACCATGGTACGCAGAGTATCTTGGGTTATCTTATTATAGCACTCCACAGTGATGGAGCATTTTCATGTTTGCAGACTTTTACCCAGACCAGTCTCTTTGTTAACCAGTTTTGTTCCTGATTTTAATCACAATAAAGCATTAGAGCTTCTAATGATAAGATTTTTTCCTTCAATGTGTTTTTGCTTCAAAGACCAGCATTTTCTTATTATAAGTATTTGTGTGCATGAGGAAGTCAAAGTGTGTAGATGATGTTTGTTAGTTTTCATTATGATTCAGAGCATGTGGGTTTGACATTGATATTCTGGTTGTTTATTTACATATAGATTTAGTATATTTAGTATATAGATTTAGTGAAGTGCAACTTGGGGGTTTGAATGTCTATTAAGGATGGTGTGATGCTTATTTTCATGTTGTTTTACCTGATCTAAAATTAATGCCAGGACAAGAAGCTGAACTGCTGCTGTGCATATTCAAACTGACTGAGCCAGGGAGCTGCAGTTTGCTCAGCAGCACTTGGGCGTGTTTTTCATACTTGAAAGAGCCCATAAAACCCAATCTAAACCTTTGTGGTGGATTTCTACAGTGCCTGGTGGTACCTGCCCAGAGCAGGCCACGGTGGGAGCCAGCAGGGATGCCATTGAGATGCCATGGGATGCTATGGGGATGCTGTTGGGTTGCCATGGGGATGCAGTGGTTGTATCTCCTCCCTTCAAGTAGCAGGCAAAGCACCAACCCATGGTCATCAAGGCCATTGAAGTGATGGGCACCTGCCCCCCGTGCTAAGGCTTCTGCTACTTGCTGCTCTCAGCTGTGTCTTTAGAACATGCAATGTGTTTTCCTGTGGCTTCTCTTGCTGTGAGCACCACAGCGCTCCTCCCTGCCTGGTTCTTTTTCCCTTCTGTGATAGAATATTCCCCCCACTGCTTTTCTGGAGGTGTTCAGACCATTTCTATGACATTTTATCCTACCTGAGGTGACTGGCGTGGGCTGGCGTGGAGGAGGCTGTCAATCCAAGAGGAGCCTCAACCCACAGGCTGCAAACAGGGGTGCAATAAATCAGCTGTGGGTTAACTGCTTGTTTGTGGGTGTACCTGACGTTATCTAAGCATAGTCTATCACTTGGAATAGGTGTGTAGTCTGGACTGGAGATGACCGGGTCTTCTTCTTCAACCCTACAATGCAGCTGTCAGTCTGGGAGAAGCCAGTGGACCTGAAGCACCGCGGCGACATAAACCGGATCATCGAGGATCCTCCTCACAAGCGCAAGCTGGAAGCTGCAGCAAGTAACTAAAGCCCTGTGATTATTTGCCTCTATTTAAACTCAGATATGGAACGAAGCGTGGTCACTAAATACGCTCAGAGAAAGTTTGATCACTGTAATTAGAGTGGGTTTCCTTTGGGGATTTCATCTCAAGTATTGTGTTAAAATTGATGTTTATTGCAAAACCCTTATTTTCACAGCACTGCTGAGCTTGGGGATAGAGTATTCTCATTATTGGAAATGAAGAACCAGGTGCCTTCTTATACTGGATCAATCTTTGATGTAGAAAATACATCTCGGAAGATGCTGTCTTTATGTTTTATTACACTTATTTCCAAGATATACATTAGGAATGCATTACCAGTGCATTATTCAGCTGTTATACAGAGGGAGATGCTCCATAGCTAATGATTATCTAACTGAATGGGGGGCGTGGGGGGGTGGGGAGAAATCCCTGTAGTAAATCTTTGATGAGTGTTCAAAGGTTTGGTGGAAATGTGGGTGCTTCCATCTAAACATGACCCTGCAGTCACCTTCTAAATGCTGAATTCCTGTTACTTAGTTGTGCTGTAGAACAGCATGCTGACCTGCAGGGCTGTGTGCTCAGTGCTTCAAAACACAGTTTAAATACACTGGCTGGTCGGTAATCAGGGTATTTGCTATCCAGTCATTCCCATCATGACCAGTTCACAGAGGCAGTTTTACCAGCTTGCCTCCCCATCCCATACTCCATCTTTTTCCCTGCTCTCTGTACCAGAGATGTCCGTGCTGGTGAGCGGTCCAGGAGCAGCCCCGCATGCCAGCCTGTTCCACCACACTGCTCTCCAAAGATTATGTTTCACCAGTTTTTGTGGACTCCTGTGGCACTGGTCACTGCTCCATGCCATAGAATCCCAGACTGGTTTGGGTTGGAAGGGACCTTAAAGCTCACCCAGCTCCAACCCCTGCCATGGGCAAGGACCCCTTCCACTGGAGCAGCTTGCTCCAAGCCCCTGTGTCCAACCTGGCCTTGAGCACTGCCAGGGATGGGGTGTCAGTGATCATTTTGTTTCCTGATGCCTTATGTTGGCTTTCATGTGGGAGCAGTGCCAGTAAGACCTGCTCTTCTGGGAGGACATCTAGCTGCATCTAGACCGCACGCCTTGATCCACAGGCACACCTCCCAGTTAATGGCTGTGAGCGTGTGTATGTGGACTTGAAACACTGCCTGCAGGTAGATAAAAGTGAATGATGATCGGGATTTATGTTACCTGTATTACAGAAGTGTGCTGATAAAAAAGCTACGAAGAGTGGTTTTCTGTTAGTCTTTATCCCCATATAATGTCATGACGTTTTTCAATATAAATTTCAATCATCAGGTGCTCTTTTATGTATCATTTATATCTGTGGCTTGAAGAACTTCAGCTGTATATCTCATAATTCTAAAGCCTGAAGTTCATTCTTCAGGAGAAAAATATGGCACATGTTTGCTAGTACAGGTTATACTGAAAGACCAATTAATTGCTGACCACGGGGAATGATGGCCAAGGACAAAACTGAGGGTCATTGTTCATGGTCTGTAATTAAAGAGAAGAGTCTAAAGTTGTTGTTGATATGTGCTCCTTCAAAGTCTATTTTTTGCTGTGTGTTCCATCCTTTCTGTTTCTTACCTATATATACCACGCAGATTTGATTCATGCACCAGTTCTTTTGTGACCATGGTTATCATCATTGCTAATAGTTTTAATCTTCCTTGATATAGCTGGGAATTGTGGTTGCTTGGTCTTTGAGAGAGTCAGGTTATAATTGGTATATATGAGCTGCTGAGGTGAAAGGAATTACTTGTCACTATTTCTCGTAGCTCGGAATCTGGAGTAAATAAATAACACATGAGCTGTGTGCTTCCAACAATGGCTGCCAAATTTATTTAGTTTAGTTGGTGCTGCTGAGTTTTAATTGGAATTCTTAAATCACAGGCATGAAAAGAAGTTGGCAGAGTAGTTCTTCATGGGATGCTGGAGGCTGTGCATCCTTCTGCTGAAAGAGCAAGCACACTTGTAATTTGGGCATAAATGCAAAATTACTCATTTATCAATTGCTCCACCTCCACTAAGTATTAGTTCTTAGGGAGGTGTGTAAGGTGTTGAGGTATATGTTATATACTCATTACTGATGTGTTCCCATCAGGCTGTCTCTCAGATGGCATCCCCGGCTCCTGCATGGGGACATCACCAGAGTGACAGACTGACCATAATATCCCTATTTGCCTCAAAGATTCCTTGAAATATTTGTCTTACTACAATAGAAAAAACCATTCTGGTCTATTCCTATTCCTTCCTCTGCTCAAACGGTTTCTCTGGATGTTCAGGCTGAGGAAGTTATTTATTCAGTTAATTAAAAGAAAACGGACATTCTGGCCCCAGATAATGGCTAGTTAATTCATAGTTGGTGTGATCCCTGTTCAAAACCAGTTATGATTTCTTTTAGTCTGTTCCCACAAATACTTAGGACCCTCTAGCATTCAAATGTATGTATAAGGCATGGCTCCTACAAATAGTATAGGTAAGCTCCCAAGCTTATGTGCGATACATACTCTGCAGCACAGCTGATCACATCTTTGCGTGTGGCCAGTGGCTTGATAATGCTTCAACTCACCTGGTAAATGCTGGTGTTCCCTCTTTGTTCTGGAAATTGAGCCGGAATTCATGACTTGGCTGGGATTAGCTGAATGATTTCATTAAGAAGCTCTAAACTTGATAGACCGTCAGATTGGGGCAGTGATTCCATGGAAAGATTGCTGCCAGGTAATATTCTTCCTCAAAGCTTTAAATCAATTATTAGATTTTGTGCTTGGCTGCCTCTCTTCCCTTTCAAAGTCAGTTTATAATCTTAGCAGAGGTCCGGCAGTACAAAGAGAATCAGTAGGCTCCTGAGTGAAAGTATAGATAGCGTTTGTCATGTTTTACTGAGCTTTCCATTGCACTGAAATTTGAAGTGATGATGCTGATTCTAATCTTGTTCCATTTATCCAAGGCAGTATAACCACAGCAGTCAGACAGGCAGGGAAAGTGAGAAGGACCTGGGAGGCTGTCATTGCTCTCTGGGAGAACCTGACATGTGTCAGGAACCAGCAGATGGAAGCAAACCCTGAAATCACAGAATCCAAGCCTGGTTTGGGTTGGAAGGGACCTTAAAGCTCACCCAGCTCCAACCCCTGTCACGGGCAGGGACCCCTTCCACTGGAGCAGCTTGCTCCAAGCCCCTGTGTCCAACCTGGCCTTGAGCACTGCCAGGGATGGGGCAGCCACAGCTTCTCTGGGCACCCTGTGCCAGCGCCTCAGCACCCTCACAGGGAAGAGCTTCTGCCTAAGAGCTCAGCTCAGTCTCCCCTCTGGCAAGTTCAAGCCATTCCCCTTGGCCTGTCCCTACAGGCCCTTGTCCCAAGCCCCTCTCCAGCTTTCCTGCAGCCCCTTTGTATCACAGTTCTTTTGTCTGAAGGCTAGATGGTGGCTAGATGGTGGTTGTATAAATGCAGTTGACCTATTTTTCACAGTAAAATCTAGAAATTCTATATCCTTTTCAGAAATCTGTGAAAGATTTTGATCTAATTTGACTTCAGATTTGTGTTCTTCAACTACCTGTAGAGCCCCATATAATTGTCATCACCTGTGAGTTTGCTCTTGTCCTGTTGAAATACTGAATGGGAAAGACTCACCGCCCTGGCCAGACTTCTCACCATTTGCTTTAGTAAAAGGACATCCCATCAGTGTTTGTAATGTCCACACGTATGTCCTTGAGCCAGCTCTGGATAAACTGGCTGTGGTGTGACAAATGGCTTCTCCTCTTCTTTATCGGTGAAATTTGGTTGGAGCAGGACTGTGCTTGCCCAGTCACCTTCAGCTCTCTTGGAAGACACCATTAAGTACTCTGTCATATTTTTACCTTCAGGTATGTCATATTTTTACCTCCAAAATATGACTTGTTGTACTTTTACCTCCAAAATTCCTAAAGTTCGGACCACTGCTGCCTCCCCAGGTTGTTCATCTCCTGATAAATAGCTTTATAACATCTCTGCTGAATTGCACTCCATTGCAGGCTGGTTTTCCTATTTCTTTATGGTTTTGATCAGGTGTCCCAAAGAACAATTTCCAAGTAGAGGTAATAGCTCCCATGAACTTGTGTTTATTTAAAACAATATCAAATTCATTTGTGCGTCCATAATGCTCATATGTTGTCAGGAATGTTGAGATCAAACTCTCCGTAGTTTGGAATGCCGTTCATCTCTCTGTATTAACATTTTATGTTCCAGTTTGTACATTGTCCTTTTGTATTTCCTCCTTATGTGCTCTCTGTTCCTGGTCTTCCCTCACTGTGACATTGCAGCTGCATTTGGTTTCTGTTGTTCCTTTTGCAGTGATTTAGTGTTTGCGTTGTTCAAACACTTAATATGAAAAGGTAACATTTGCTGCGCACTAATAAACGTGTCATTTACCTAAAATAGGGAAGCAAAATGAGCTGAGAATAAGAGTCTTAAATTGAAACGAAATAAATGGCCAATTTTCTATTATCTTCAATGATGCAGATATTAGACCCATTTTGTAGGAAATGGCTTGGAGTTTCATCTGATTCCAGTGAGATCAGATCTCGCCATACCAAGTTATTCAAACCTTTAAACTCCATAACCTTAGTTCAATTTTAGCTTTATTTTTATTCTTTCACCATTTCCTCCATAGCAAGCCATGTTTTCATTACCACACTAATACAGAGAGGCTGACGTTTTGTGTTTCTGATAAGCCCAAGCTAACCACGTACACCTTGATTACTGTGTTTGTCATGGTGAGCTATTGGAGTCCTCAGCATAAACCGAGCACTGGGTGGATGTGGCTCCTGATGCTCTGTTTGATTTGTGATGAAAACTGCAGTTTGTGTACCTGAAGAAAAAGGATTTCCAGAAATACATATCTGTCCCATATGCTTCACATTCACTATATGACAGTGCAACCCCAGAGTCCTCCAAGGATGGTTGTCCAGACCGAGACAGGAGAGTAACATTACCTTGGAGTTATCTGTGGCATAAGGAGCATGGAGGTTGTTGGTATCCCCATAACCTTGATGCACTGGTGGTGGAATCCAAGAAAAGCAGCACTATATTTGCTTATATAAGAAAGGAATGGGCTGAGGAGGGAAGTTCTGGTGCGAGGTGCTGCTATTGAATCCTTGGTTGCCAGTACTGACATAACCTTGCAGAAATGCCTTTCTAGTTGCATTTTTAAGGGAAGAGAGGAGGGAGGATCAGGTGAAACCATAACAAGGTTTAAACCAGTCATGTCACAAATGAAAAATGAGGAGCTTTTCAGAATGGAAATGGTCGGGTTTATTGCTATCACTTTCATTTGGATGAAGGCAATGGTGAGGATCTGATGAAAGATGTGTTATTTTTAAAGCGCTCTGTGGAGAGGGAAGAATAGCAAATATCTGAGCAGCAGCCAAAGGCAGGGAATGAAAGGTTAATTTGAGGAATCTGTATTCCCATTTATCTAGTTCAAATCTAATAACTATTTATTTCTTTTTAGCAGACAAATGTGTTAGCTCTTGCCCAGGGGATGAAACTGATGATCTTAGCATCAAAACTAAGAGAAATAAGTAAGTTCTAAAGTTTACTTATCTATATATAATGTTGGGAAGCTAATGACTGGCACAAATAAATGTAAAGAGAAATACAGTTCTTTTATGTGTGATAACTACTTATGAAAGTCACTCTTAAGGTAGCCAGTCTTCATCAAACCCCATGATTCTCTATGATCTCTATTTCCCCTGAAATTCATCAGTTTTTGTCTAATTCATGCTTATTTTGAAATGGTTAAAAGAAAAGATTATAAAGATATATGTGGTGGTTTCAAAGACATCGGATAAAAGCTTCATCTTCATTGAAGTGAAGCAGATTGTTTTCCACTGGTGTCAGGCTGCCGGCTTAGAATATCCAGAGGTATTTCTGTTATTGTGCTTTCATTTGACCTTTATTATCATGTGTGTTTCCAATTCTGATGAAGTAAGAGGCAAAAAACCCCATGTGCCAAACAAGCAACTCCTTCATCCTTCACCAGAGCAGGAAGAAAAGGAAGGAAACAGTTTGTGTTTTAAGGAGTACCTTAGAGACATTTCATTCTAGTTAACCTAACTGCAGCTAGCATCAGCTGCTAGGGGTAAGATACTGGTTTAGGCCATTAAAAAATAAGCCTGTAAAATAGATCTGCACAGAATAGTGTGTTATATTTTGAGGGTATTGTGATGAGTGAGCACAGCAAATGTCTTGTGTTTTCCAAATGAATGTATTGAAGAGAATTCTATTCTCATTGCTGTTCCTATCCTACTACGTCAGGTGATTCCTCTGACCTTGTGAAGACTTTCTGTGGTTTTGTGTTGTTATGAGGGAAAAGTCGGATACTCCCAGATGGAATACTCATGCTATTTCAGCATTTAATGCTTTCTATAAGAGAGTCTATTTATACTTATGTATACTAAATATGTACTTTTCCTATTTACATAGTATTAAGCATTCATAAACAGTATAAAAGTTTATATTTAGTACAAAATATTTAGGAATACATCTTCTGATGTCAGTGGGTTTGACAGTAATGGGCCTCATTATGACCTGTGTATAGAGGTGAATGTTTTCCATGTGCTATTAAAGGGATTCCCTTTAGTGACTGGCTGAGAAAATGTGAAAGCATCTTTCTATTCATGTAGCTAAGGAAAATTCTAAAACTTGAGAATCTTATTCAAAGAACTCCAGAAAAATGCACTTATTCAAAGGTTATTGTGTTAAAAGTGCCTCTTCCACTGTCTGCTTGTGAGTAAAGAATGTTATCTCATCTTCAATGGGTTTCCATGACTTACTCACTTGAAAGACTAACTTTTAGTCTCTTATTTTCTTTATACTTAAAGGAACATTGTCAAAATCGTCAGTCCCAAATAAGGCCCATCCTTTTAGATATTTGCAGAATTTATCTTGTATTTATTTGCAGAAATACATCTTCATATACATGCCTTTTCGCCAAAGCAAATAGGTAAATGCAGCTCAAGCTGATCAGTCTCAGCCTACCACAGAGCTGCTGCGTGACTCTCCTGCCTTAATGTACTTTAGCATCATTCTTGTGGTATGTATTTATAGATACATATATATGCATATATAATCATAAATCATACAGCAATCAAGCTAAAAGCACAGTCACATCATAAATGCAACAGGATGGTGGCCAGCATCTTGGATTGCCAGCAACATTTGCTGGGCACAGGCAGCAGAACAGCACTGCAAAACAACTCTCAGTTGTGACTTTATGCCACAGAAGTTGAATAGCAGGTGGTAATGAATTTATATCAACTGCTGTTTATGTCGTCCTTTATATTAAGTTATTTTTATATATGGAATAACAAATAATACAGCCTTTATTGTACTTGAGATTTGTGACAAGATGTTCATTGAGAGGGTATTTAAAGCTCTAAGAACCTTGCCATAAGTTCATAGAATCACAGAATCCTGGAATGGGTTGGGTTGGAAGGGACCTTAAAGCTCATCCAGTTCCAACCCCCTGCCAGGGGCATGGACACCTTCCACTACAGCAGGTTAATATAAAGAGTAAAGCAATCTTCAGAGAAACTTAGGTCTTTGGGGGTTTTTTCACAGTGACAGAAGGGCTGGGCACACCTCCATACCCCTGCTCCCAGCAGGTCCAGTGGGTTGAGCATCTCCAAGGCTGGAACCCCACAGCCTCCCTGGGCAGCCTGCCCCAGTGCCCACCAGCCTCATAGTGAAAAAGCTTTTTATTGTGCTTGGGTGGATTTTCCTCTTTGTGCCCATTGCCCATTGTCTCTTCTTTTGTTAGTGGGTACCACAGTTACATAAAAACATCCCACTGCCCTGTCTGTGTGAAGATTTCCAGGCTTCCAGGATTGTTCTAGTAGGATGCCTGTATGTGTCCATCTGAGAAGGAAGTCACATAGTTGTTTCTGCAGATTATTGTATTATTTTCTAAAGAAAATTCTATTATGTTCTATTCTCTATTGTGTTGTATTCTTTATTGTCATTTTTGCCATGAGCATCGTTTTCAATTGCATAAGGAAGACTGCAGGAAAGAGGGGCTCTTCTGGTGTTTGGCTGGTGGAGCAGGATGCTGCATTCCTCCCAGTTTGGGCTTGAAAAAGCACTTTTTGTCTACTAGGGATTGGATTGGGCCTTTCATGGATCATGTCACAGACTGAAATGCGCTATTACAATATGAAAGTCACTGTCAATCTGTGAAGAACACCAATTTGGTATCTCTCAAATCACTAGTAATACAGCATCATTTTAGGATAAATGTGAGTGTAATGTAATTATTTGCAGAAGGAAGATAACCCACCACAGCTCACATTCCAGACTAATTAATTCGTTTGCTTGGAAGCAAAATAATGCTTTCCTGTTGAAATTTCCAACTAAGTATTATTCTGTAGTGGTGAAAATTGCCTCAGTAGAAAATGCAGTCATGCCGGTAGGAGGCTAAAAGTGAAATCATCTTATATCCATTATCCTCACTTGAACCTTGTGAAGACTCCAGATCTTTCCTTAATTTGTATGGAATTCATTCACAGAATCCCAGACTGGTTTGTGTTGGAAGGGACCTTAAAGCTCCTACAGTTCCAACCCCTTGCCATGGGCAGGGACACCTTCCACTAGAGGAGGTTGCTCCAAGCCCCATCCAACTTGTCCTTGAACACTGCCAGGGATGGGGCACAGCAATGTGCCTTTATCCAGGAGGTTCCTGCAGGCAAAGGGACTCAGGCAATACATAGTATTTCTCAGAAACAGCTATTTATCCAAATCAGATGCAACCTTAGAAAAGGGCTGTCAGGATCAATACGGTCCTCTCTGCACTGACAAAGGGCAGGTTCTTCACTGATGCTTTACTGGCAGGTTTGTGCATTGCCAGATTTCTTCCCTTGGGAGAGAGCTCCTGGGGTGTATGGGAACATAAAACAAAGATTAGTGTTGACTTTCAAGTTCTGGGGCACAAAAGCAGAGGATAGAAAAATAAACCAAATTGAGTCTCTTCAGTCACTGCTTTCAAGTCTCCACTCCTTGACACATCTTATATTTCTGTGGCTTGAAATAGACCCTAGCATTGTGGTGCTGAGTTCCTCTGTGATCACACTGATGAGCATCCTTCCACATGATGAGCTGTCGGAGGTCCACTGGCCGGGCCCATGAGCCCCATGGTTTAATAACACAGCACAGGGCTGGGTACCTTCTGAGCTGTCAACCTTCCCTTGTGAGCAAGAAGTCCAAAATCCTGGAGGGTTTTCTTGGGAGGGTTGAAAGTCCTCTCCCCAGCTGGCCATTACTGAGTTGTCTGTCTTACCTTGTTAAAGAACAGAAGATTCCCAAGCTGCTGACCATGGAAAGGCTGAAATGGAAGAGAAAAATGAGGAGACATCAGCACCTCAGGTCATGCCTCCCCTAGAAGAGCGCATCACTCATTTCCGAGACATGCTTCTGGAGAGGGGGGTAAGAAACGCTTGCTTTCTCTGACATATCCCCTTTATTAAGCTAGAGCAGCATCTAGGACCACTACAGGAATAATTTCATAACTGTGACTTAGCAGTCAAATGAAGAATTATTGAAGGTTTTTCTGCCTTTTAGCCATGCTGGGTTTGCTGTACTATACTGTGACTGTTCTTCCAACGCCATCCAGTCAAACACGGCACTGTGGAATTGAAAGCCCTTTGCAGGTGCAGTTCCAGGTAAATGCCTGTAGACAGATCCAAAGATAGCCAGAGGTGGTAGATCTTCCCTGCAGACCAGTGGCTGAGCAGGGCATGGGGACCGTGGTCACACACCAGCCCTGGGGTCCAGCATGAACCTCAGAAATGGAACAAAGAGGAAGAGATGTGTCGTGTGCATCAGCTGAAAGGCAGTGCCAGGCTTAGGAGTATTTTCTATCTAGAACAGTCTTGGCAAGCTCTTTGCTTCGTTTAGCATGGGAGAGGTTTCATCACCACAAACTCTCATGATTCCTAATTCACTTACTGGCCATCCAGAGCCATGGAATCCCAGACTGGTTTGGGTTGGAAGGGACCTTAAAGCTCATCCAGCTCCAACCCCTGCCATGGACAGGGACACCTTCCACTAGAGCAGCTCGCTCCAAGACCTGACCAACCTGGCCTTGAGAACTCCCAGTGAACTGATCATCTTGAGCCTGAATGGAATTAGTAAGCCCACCAGGTTTAGGTCCTAATCCTGCCAGTGTAAATGGGTGTGTAATGGAGCAGTGAGTGCAGATTTTTTGCCTCCCTCCAGCACTCTGCAAATACATATTCTGGAGAAGTTCATGTAATTTCTGTAAAGAATAAATATCCAAGGTGTCTGTTGTTAGGCAGCAAAGCCTGTGATATTTATCACTGGTAATCAGCAGGCTTTAAAGGTAGATAATTAGAGCTCCAGAAGCTCAACAGTAAATTATCTCCATGCCAGACCTGCTTTATTAACACATTTTGTTATTTATGCTTAAAAAATGCAGAATTGCCAGAAATGAATACTGGTTAAAGACGTCTGCTGGCATCATTTAAGTCAGGGGGCAGTAAGTCAAAATCAGAAGCATTAGGGATGTTCTATAATAGGATTTCTCAAGTGTTTCCAGTGTGAGTCAGAGTTACTGATAAAAACAAGAAAATCAGGAAATTTGATGCTTGGTTTTGCTATTATTTAAAACGCTGTGATGGTTGCTTACTTTGCTTTTGCCCTGAGCAGGTTTTAAAGGTCCAGAGAAGGCACTGGTTAGCACCAGGTTCTTGGCATTGCTTGGCATAAAGTGAGGCTGTCAGTGTTCTTTTAACCTGGTTATTTAATGAACATCTCCTCCCATCTTCTCATAATGTTGTTATTTCTCAAGAAGCTCCTTGGTGACATTGCAAAGAGCTTGAACTGGGTGGGAAGATGTTCAGTGTGGCTCTGAATCCTACATCAGTTACAGCAACAGAAGAGTATTTCTTGTCAAGTTTTATAAGATTCTTCGTCTACCTCCAGGACAATGGCACTATAAAGTCTGTGGCAAGTTTTCCTATGGAAAAAATGGAATCTCTGATAACCTCCTGGAATTTCATCCCATGATTTTACGATTCTGTAAATGATTCTGTGATGAATTAGCCCAAGCTTAACTAGCTTTGTGTTCTAACTGGCCTTTGTACTGGGAGCAAAGCTGACTTCCACGTGTATGAAAGATACCCTAAAGGAAAGGATTCTTGCTTGATCCTTCTGAAGCGGGGAAGTACTCCTGAAGCCAAGAACCTTTCCAGGAGGAAACCCCAAACTTTGGGACTCATCCACCTGTGTGGGCATGGAGGGTGATCCACAAACCCACTTTACTTCATCACAGCTTTCCTGCTTGAGCATTAAATACTCTATTTTAATTACACTTCACATACCTAATTTTTTTTAGCGAATTTATTCTGCATTGTAATTAGATGAATGATTAAAATATTTTATGTTACTCCAGAGTTTTCTGTAACAAACTGATTAACAGTGATGTGGTACAAGGCACAGAAACCAGCCTGGGGAACTCAGTCCTACGCTCTTGTGTTGTAGAAGTCTTTGGCACAGGGCACTGAGCATGAAAAGGACCTGCTCAGACCCACAGTGGTCCTTACAGCCCACACATCTGAAAGCGTTTTGGGAGGAGGTGGAAGAAGCTCTGTAGGAGTGTGATATTCTCATTCCATGTAGCTGCAGGAACGTGAGCCATGTAGGGTGTAGGGGGCTTGGGTGGACAACCAGGGTCCTGCTCTGGGTTCATGGGGAAAGGGGAGAAGCCTCAAAATTGGAGATGTGACAGCCATGCTGCTAAAGGGAAATGGCACATTTCCCATGAAACCTGGTGTTTGAATCCCAGCCTGGTTTGGGTTGGAAGGGACCTCAAAGCTCCTCCAGCTCCAACCCCTGCCACAGGCAGGGACCCCTTCCACTGGAGCAGCTTCCTCCAAGCCCCTGTGTCCAACCTGGCCTTGAGCACTGCCAGAGATGGGGCAGCCACAGCTTCTCTGGGCACCCTGTGCCAGCGCCTCAGCACCCTCACAGGGAAGAGCTTCTGCCTAAGAGCTCAGCTCAGTCTCCCCTCTTGTAGCATCTTGAAGATTCTCACCCCTAGTTCTTCTTTGTGTGCACGCACTGGCAGCTCGTTTGGGTCGTAATTTGAGTTACAGAGAGGAGGAGAAATAAAGCTGAGATAATTGTTTAGCTGGAAATTGATGCTTCTGTTGTACAAAGGGGGTCATAAAATGGTGTTTTCCTTTCTGCTACGGATTCTTTCCATCAAAAATGTGGAATGACCCTCTCCCAGACACTCCCTGAGATGTCCTAGAGCAAATCAATAGTAATGGTGTGGGGGCGACCAGAGCGTTGCCAGAAACAGATTAGAATTCAACTTCCAACTGCTCTGAAGCATCCTTTAGGGGGTTCATTAGCTTTCTGAACTACTCGTTTGCTTCACCTTGGAACATTTTCTTCTTTCACGCCCTTATTAAAATTCCTTAATGCAGCTGTGTTTGTGTATTTCACAGGTTTCAGCTTTTTCTACGTGGGAAAAGGAGTTACACAAAATAGTGTTTGATCCGCGCTACCTTCTGCTAAATTCAGAGGAACGTAAGCAGGTGAGGGCTGCCTCCAGCATAGCTCCTGATTGGCGACAAATGTCTCCCAAATGAAGCGTAATAAAAGAGGAATTATCTTGGCAGGATAAAGGGAATTGCATAAAATTAAAATGTCTCTTTTGAGTTCTTCAGTGAGACTTGTAACTTAGGCTTTGCTCATAGGAAAGTGCTGTCTCCTTAGGAAAGCAAGTAGTAATGAGCGTGTTTGTGCATCGACATGAGCCACGGGCTCTTGGGTTGTAGGAACAACAAGTACTGAGGCTGGGAAACTGGGCTGTAGAAAGGGAAGTGGTCATAAAGCAGTGTTACCACTCTGAATTATTTAAATACTGTAGAGAGACTACTTCATTTTTATTACTTAGAATATTTTCTGGGAGTTTGCTGTTATTTACTGCTATATCTTGCAATAACTAAGCTTGCTAAGACATAAATGGAGAACACTGTGGCTGTGCCAGTGTGTGTCTGAAAGGGTTTAGCTTCTCTGGCAGGCTGCAAAGGGAGTGGGGTTCTTGCTGCCTTGGTTATTTGGGCATTAATCATCACTGGGGATCTAACAGGACCTGAGGGCTGCAGATCAGTCTAAAAAATGTAGGGGAGATGGAAGGAAGTTGCAGGGAAAGGGAATGCTTCTATTCTGTGGGTATTTCTCTTCCTTACAGTCTTTTGTCATCCTGGAGAGGGAAGAATTTTGAATATAGAATTGTCCATTTTTTAGATCAACACAATGAAAAATGTTCTTAATTCCTATTCCATTGCACTGGGGGCTGTGTTGTCTCGTGAGTCACCAGAGAGCCTCCTGTGGGGATTTACCGAGGCACCGGACACGTACACCTTCATTTATTCCTTTTCCAATATTTTCTTTCCTAAGAAAAAAAGTGAAATAAAATAATAAGGAAATATGGGAATGAAAATGTAAGAGAAACTGCTAGAATGGGAAATAGTGCAAGGCAAGAGAACAAGCAGGGAGTTTTGTACTTAATTCAGGGAACCAGCAAGGACAAAACCTAGACCTTGCTGGGTCAGTCAAGATTTATGACTTCTTACTTTTTATCAGCCTTGGAGATAGTATAATAAAAATACATCATGAATACACAGAATGTGCTTGAAGCACTGCTGAGAGGACCTCGTTTGTGGGGTGGGCTTCAGACTCAACAAAAGGGTTATGGAAAAGAAATCATTGGCAGTCCTGGAGGTAGAAACATGCCACCAGGTAGAGGCTGGTTCAGAGCTAATGTGGAAGAGGGTGGTTGTTGGTTGCTCTTCTGCCAAACAGTGCTAAAAAAAGCAGTGTGTGGGAGCACGTGCCAGCTGTGTAATGTATTCTAGGTGCTAAACTCCAAGTTAAGTTTTCCAGATGTTCATTATGAGTACCGCCATTTAATTAGACCCCATTTTCCTCCAAGAAGTAGTTTAAGGATAAAGACTCCGCCAGAAGAGATGCCTGATTTAATGAAAGTACTTCTTGAAGCACAACTCCAATTAGTAGAAGACATTATTGAGGTTTATGGAAACATTTACCTTCACGGCTGCTGGTGTGGCCTGAAGAGCAAGTGCCTGAGAACTCTCTAAATTATGCAGATTAATTGATGTTGGAGAGGGTTGGAGGTGAAAAGTGGCTCAGAATGGAAGTGAGGAAGGAAGGAATGAAAAAGGGAAGGAGGGAGGGAGGGAGGAAGGAAGGAAAAGGAAGGGAGGGGGGGAGGAAGGAAAGGAAGGAAGGAAGGGAAGGAAGGAAAAGGAAGGAGGGAAGGAAGGAAAAGGAAGGAGGGAAGGAAAAGGAAGAAGGGAAGGAAAAGGAAGAAGGAAGGAAGGAAGGAAGGGAATGAAGGAAAAGGAAGGAAGGGAGGGAATGAAGGAAAAGGAAGGAAGGAAGGGAAGGAAGGAAGGAAGGAAAAGGAAGGAGGGAAGGAAAAGGAAGGAAGGAAAAGGAAGGAGGGAAGGAAAAAGAAGGAAAAGGAAGGAAAGAAAAGGAAGGGAGGGAGGAAGGAAGGAAAGGCAAAGGGAAAGGAAAAGAGAAAGAGCATGGCTGGCTGTACTGCAGTTTCCTCCTTTTGATTGTCATGTAGGAAAAGGCAGGGAAAGTGTTTCGACTGCAATCTGCAAGTGTCTGAGAGAACTTTCTCTTGACCTGAACTTGTGTTCAGGTGGGTTTGGTGTGCAGGAATGGAAGCTCTGCTCTTGGTGGGCGTCCTCACACAGCCTGAGGGACGTAACGATCCATTATTGAACATCTGCACACTCACCAATGGTTTCCAAGGGGTTATTAGCAGTTGAAGGATGCTCTTGTGTATAAGACAGGAACAGTGAAGGGTAAAGGAGCAATTGTATTAAAATAATGAGCTATCTGTTAATTTTGATTTAATACCTTGCTGATAGTTTCACTAATAGAAGAAAGGCCACCAATAGAGTGTCACCTACTCTATTTGTTCCATTTTTCCACCTGCTCTTACACTCAACTTACACAATTGCATACAGTATCTTAAGTCTGGATTTCCTGGGGTTTTCACAGTACTTTTTTCATGGCCATTTTTTGATGTTTGCTTTTCCAGTGCTATTTCTTCCCTTTTCCACATACTATGCTAAATACCAGTTGTAAGTTGGCTACTTTAGCTTTCATGGCATGTAAATCTGCAGCTGTGCATCCTCATGGCTGATGAGGAAGCAACTGAGGTAGTAACCATAGTAATCACATTTAATGTATGTGATTTGTAGTGAGAAGGGTGGTGAATATGGAAAGCTAATAGCATTTTGAGGCTTTTATTCAACAACTTAGTGTGCCACACTTCTCAGAGCATGAAAGGAGAAGGGCCTGATTTTTGCTATTAAAAATGTGATTAAAGCAGTTGGCAGAATTTTGTGCCATAGTGCACTACTTGGTTCCTTTTCAAGACATCAGAAATCCAGATGCTGAGGCCATGCTGCGTATTTAGCTGCCAAATACTGTTAGAGGAAGGTCATCGACCATTCCAAACACGTTAAAGCTTTTGGGTGTATGTGTACGGAGAGTTGTGTGTAAGCTCGTGGGGTTTGACAACTGATCTGAAAGGACTTCAGGCTATTTGGGGGAAAACTACAGAATATTGATGTTTAGCTTTATAGACATTTTCAGGAATTCCAGCAAGTTGGGAAAGATGCAAGATCCAAAGTAAATAACTGCAGTCAGCTGTGCAGATGCCCAAAAGTAAGGCTATAGGCATGAAAACGTGAGCAAGACGCTGAAGTCAGGAAATTGTGATTTTTGTTGCTCTCAGTGTTTGGATGAAGATGCTATCTGTCCACATTGTGCCTTTTCCTAGCCGCTTGTTTTGTGAGAACATGCTGTTTGTGCTGCATGAAGCGGGTTCAGCTGCACATTGAGTCAATGAGGGCAGATAAGAACTGCAGGTCTGGAGACTGACAGCCCTTTGATGAAGCATAAATACCACGAAGGCTTTGTTAATAAACTCTATATCTTGTTTCCCTTTCTTGGAAAGATATTTGAACAGTTTGTCAAGACCAGGATCAGAGAAGAATACAAAGAGAAGAAAAACAAGTTATTGTTAGCCAAAGAAGAGTTTAAAAAGCTCCTTGAAGAATCTAAAGTATCACCAAGGTATGGCATTGCCTTGTTGAGTTGTTGAGATAAGTTTTCTCATTTAGCCTGTGCTTATCAGCCCTAGAAAGCCATAACACTGAGCAAACTCTTCATATCCAGCTTGTACATCCATTGTTCCAGTGCTGGGTTAGCATTTCTTCCCTAATATTTTGCAGTATTTTGTTATATTATTGGGAGAGGGAACATTCCATCCTTCCCTGTTCCTTTCTCCCTCTCTTATTCACAATATGTAGCATTTTGCGTAACACTTTTATTTCTTCTGCATATATATGTTGTAATCATAGAACACACACGTATCTATTAATTAGATAAAATCAATACATATTAAACCTCATTTACATTAGGCATACAGGTGTAACTAGTGAAAATGCATTCAGGTTTGCCTTTTGATGGAGGACAAATGTAATTCAGCCAAGTTAATATTAATGGCACATCGCTAAATTAAAATAAAGCGTGCAGTGAAAGAATCCATTTTTCTACATTGCTTTTTAAGTAATGGACCCCAAACTGCACCATTGAGAATGCAGAGCTGAGGATGCTGCTTTCTCATGTGTAAATGATACGGAAATAAAGATTTATATATTAGAAATCCAATTAAATTATTGGAACTGAGAAATTACTTTTCTCTGCTCAAATACACAGGTAATTGTACAGCACTTCCTGCCCAGACACGTGGGTTCAAGCAACACATCGGGCTGTGTGGAAGTAATAACAAGCTTTTTACAATGAAACAGAGAATATTCTGTAGCAGCTAAATGCTGGTCCCAGCAATGTGCTGGCCTTGAGGACAGAGCCATTATGTTAATGTTTCTGTTGAGCTGAATGTAAGACCACAGCAGCAAAGAAACTCATGTTCCAGCAACAATCTCTGACTTGATTCTGATATGCAAGGAGATAAGTAAATCAAACGTATTTCCAATAAGAATAAAACAGGCCTTTTCCCAAGGGACTCTTACAAATCTGCACAGTGTTTAGAGCTCTGATTCAGCCAAGAATAGGAACTGCAAAGTCAATGTGGCAGAGCACAGCAACTGAACACGATCACTGACAGGAGAAGCAAGCAGCAGCGTGATGCAGAGGGCAGCACAGGCAGAGGTGTCCCATCACGGCATCCTTGGCAGCAGCTCTGGGACCAGCTGGAGTGCCAAGCAGCCAAGGGAAAACCCACTGACCTGGAGCATCTCCAGTGTCCCCATGTGCTTCTCTGGAGAAGTGGGGATCATTGAATCCCAGCCTGGTTTGTGTTGGAAGGGACCTTAAAGCTCCTCCAGCTCCAACCCCTGCCACGGGCAGGGACCCCTTCCACTGGAGCAGCTTGCTCCAAGCCCCTGTGTCCAACCTGGCCTTGAGCACTGCCAGGGATGGGGCAGCCACAGCTTCTCTGGGCACCCTGTGCCAGCGCCTCAGCACCCTCACAGGGAAGAGCTTCTGCCTAAGAGCTCAGCTCAGTCTCCCGTTGGGCAGGTTCAAGCCATTCCCCTTGGCCTGTATATATAAATATATAAAAAGTCAAGGAGTTTAAATAAAAACCCCTTGTTAGTGGCCTATGAATTATGGTTCCAGTTCATTACAGTGCCCACCATGCTCCTCTCAGAATGGGACTGATGGACCTGTACTGGGAGTAGCAGAAGCATCCAAGCAAAGATACCAGTGAATGTTTCTGGTCTCAGATACGATGTTTGCAGTGGAAAATGCTGGGCCTGATGACAAAATCCTCCTGCAGAGCTCCCTGTGGGTTTCAATTACATGGTGCCCATCACTCAGAGCTACAATTAATTTTTTGCTATTTTTGGGAAAGATGAAACCATTGGGTGTTTCATCAGGTGTGGCGCAGTCAAAGTGCATTCGTTTGCAATTAGCCACAGATCTGGTTTTCTGCTCTGTTATAAGCTAATTATTGAAATACTGGCCAGAGGTACAGGCAGGCATAGATTAAAGCTGCAGTAACCTGGGGTGCAGCAAATACTGTGTTAATGATTCTGAAATGTCCTGTCGACCCTCATCTAGATTTTTTTAAAGCAACTTAAATGTTGCAGGCTGATCCATGAATCCAGAGCAGTTCTGGCACAGTCTTGTGTCCTGGGTTCAGCAGTAGCAGTCATTTTTCTCCTTCCTAGTAGCTGCTGCAGTGCTGTGGGTTTGACTTCCAGCCTGGGAACAGCGCTGATAACACCGGTGGGTTTAGTTGGTGCTCAGTAATGTTCAGTCTGACCAAGGACTTTGTGAGCCTCATGCTCTGCCAGGGAGGAGGGGAAGCTGGGAGGAAGCAGAGACAGGACACCTGACCCAAACTGACCAAAGAAGTATTCCATACCACAGCACGTCATGCCCACTATATAAACTGGGGGCAGTTACCCAGAAGGGTGAGATTGCTGCTTGGTCAGGCTGGGTATCAGTCAGCGGGTGGTGAGCGGTTGTATTCTCTTCCCTTGTTATTTCCGTTATGATTGCTATCATTGGTGGCAGCAGCAGTGATTTGTGTTATACCTTAGTTACTGACTGCTCTTATCTCAACCCGTGGGGGTTACATTCTTCCGATTCTTCTTCCCATCCCTCTGGGATCTGGGAGTGGGGGGGAAGGGGAGGGAATGAGCAAGCGGGCTGCGTGGGTCTGAGTTACTGACTGCACTTAAACCACGACATCTTGCTTTCCTCATCCTGGGTTTACCATTATATTCCTGTCAAATACCAGAATATTCAGAAGGAGTCTTAATTTGTGTGGAATTCATTCATAGACTCACAGAATGGTTTGTGTTGGAAGGGACCTCAAAGCTCATCCATTTCAGGACCCCTTCCCCTAGAGCAGCTTGCTCCAACCCCTGTGTCCAACCTGGCCTTGAGCACTGCCAGGGATGGGGCAGCCACAGCTTCTCTGGGCACCCTGTGCCAGCACCTCAGCACCTTCTGCCTGAGATCCAGTCTAAATTATTCCAGTATAAAACCCTCCTAAATTAAACTTTTTAAAACCTCTCTAGCTTCTGAGGCTTTTAAAACAGCCGTTTTTAAAGCTTTTTTTTTGTTAATTAACCAAACATCAGGCAAATTGCATTACGGCAGGTCCCCCACAACATCCTTGGGTTTAGTGCCTGTATGAAGAGTCACACCCATTTTAAAGAATCAGAGAGTGGATTGGCCAAGTCACAGCTTTTAAATGTGTCTCTTTTCTGCAGAACAACGTTCAAAGAATTTGCAGAGAAGTATGGAAGAGACCAACGGTTCCGGCTCGTGCAGAAGAAGAAGGACCAGGAGCACTTTTTCAATCAGTTCATACTTATTCTTAAAAAGAGGGACAAAGAAAACAGGATAAGGCTACGGAAAATGAGATAAAAACTCCTGAAACTGGCAATAAGGACACAGGCCCAGGCTGTGACTGCAGTAAGGAACTCGCATGAAGGCTAGAGCGTTCAGGGTTAAACTTGGGACAGCTTGATGATGAAGAAGAGATCCCTGAGGAAATGTTCCTCTAAGCGGAGTTTGGTGAACATATATTGAATTTGGGAAGGCTGTTCTGCAGGAATCAGAAGGATATTTTGTTCTCAAAGAATTAATGTTTCATATTGAAGCTCTCTTTTGTACAACATCCAGAGTTTGATGCATTTCTAATTGCCATGATATGTCAATCTGTTAATTGTTTTAATTATGCAAATTACTTGTAATATACACAAATTATGAATCCAATGCAGATTTATAATTAAGCAGAAGCAGATGCCATCCATAACTATCAAGATATTTCCATCATTTAGGGGAATCATCTAAAGCAATCTTTTGGCAGCTTTACACATTACCCTAAAGTGTTTGGAGGTGCAGTTGTATGCAGGAATCCATTACCTGGTGTTCATACGTCTCTGTCTGAGTAGTAGTAATAAGATATTAATTGTTAACCTTAGTGAAGAGTGTGGAAATCTCGGCATATGTTCCATAGGAAAACTTTAAGTTTCAGAACTAGCTTTCAACTTACCGCGGAGAGTGCTTTTAGGCACACGGGTGGTAGCAGCATTTCACTGTCAGCAGTCCGAAAAGAAGTTAATTTGTAAAACCCTCACAGTACGAGTTATGTTGCTGTATGTGAAAAGTCTGCATGAGATTTTTCTCATCATATTTGTATACATAAATATTTAACTTTTTTAATTAATAAATATTTTAAGCCAATTTTCAGGGGGGTTAAAGTTTCTGAACTGTTGGGAATGTTGGGTGAGAGATCGCAGGTCTGATGGGTTTTACTTGAGAGAGAGAAGACCAGGGAGAGTTCCCACCACTGATGATTTTTGAGCTAATTCCACTACTATCAGTTGGAATTTGGAGCATATTGAGAGCAAAATAGCTGCTCTGGCTGTGAAGGTAGGATACCATGGCTAGAGTAACTCAGCATAGCAGTAAATCTCTTCCTTTATGCTGCATGAAAGACACACTCTCCTCTGCGGTCATAATCATTTTCTCGTTTGACCTGATTGTTAAGTTATTACCCAATAGATTTCTAGATTTCTATTTTCTGAGTAAGCTGTTGATATTTTCTCCAGCTGATGGCAATTTTTCTTTAGCCTTGCACTGGATATTTTTTATAATCAGGGAAATAAAATGTATTTTCTAATCCTTCGGAAAAATGAACTCAGAATAATTCAAAGAAGAGTATGAAATGTAAGATATGTATAATCATAGAATGGTTTGGGTTGGAAAGGACCTTCAAAGGTCATCTAGTCCAAACCCTTGCTGTGAGCAGGGACAACTTCATCTAGATCAGGTTGCCCAGAACCACATCCAACCTGATCTTGAGTGTCTGCAGAGATGCCACATATAGAATCATAGAATCACAGATTGGTTTGGGTTGGAAAGGACCTTAAGATCATCCAGTTCCAACCCCCTGCTGTGGACAGGGACACCTCACACTACACCATGTGCTCTGTCCAACCTGGCCTTGAACACTGCCAGGGATGGGGCAGCCACAGCTTCTCTGGGAGCCCTGTGCCAGAGCCTCAGCACCCTCACAGTAAAAGAAGTCCTTCCTTATATTTAACCTGAACTTCCCCTGTTTAAACATATTACGCCTTGTCCTATCACTACAGTATAGACCGCATCCCTGGACAACCTGTTCCAGTATGAAGTATGTAGAGTTTCTAACTTCTACATGAAAAAAAAAATAATCATTTATTTCTATGAGAGCAAGATCTGACTGAAGCTGTCAGTGGTTTGGGTCAGGAAACGTGTTGCTGTGTTGACATTATTGGGTTCAAGAGATGCTGCCCGTTTTCACAAGCAAGGGTGATGCTTCGGGACCGAGCGAGCTGGAGCGTGAGCTGGTAGATGCCATTTGGTTTTAATGGCTTGCAAGACATGTGATAGCTACTTACAACTTTATTGCACAATTATTTTTACATCCCTGGAGGAGCCTGGTTTGCTCCCACCCCTGTGCAACTCGGGAGTCCTGTGGGAATGATGTAGAGACAAATGCTGTTCGCTTCAAGTGTGGTAGGACCAGGCAGCAGTGGCCTGGGAAAAACACGTGGGTTGAGTAGGCTGAGGACAGACTTCACAGCGGCTTTCAGAAGGTTTTGAAGGTTTTCCTTTTGAAGAAAGAGTAAGCTGCAGCAAACCAATGAGACGAGGCTTTTATGACTGCAGCGTTTCTGTTTCAGTGGCTTGTAGCCCTTGTGTTGTTTTCTGGTTTAACTGTATGTGTGTATCTGGACCTTCTACTGCCATCCCCTATTTTGAGTATGAATAAAATGGAATATTAATATTTTGAGGATTCTCCTTGATTTTAGTATTTCCTGACAATGTCAGAAATCCTCATCACAATGTAAATATGATAGTGAAGGGATAATGCCCCATCTTGTCAGTGTTCAAGGCCGGGTTGGACAGGGCTTGGAGCAAGCTGCTCTAGTGAAAGGTGTCCCTGCCTGTGGCAGGGGTTGGAGCTGGAGGAGCTTTAAGATCCCTTCCAACACAAACCAGGCTGGGATTCTACAACCACTTTTCATTATCAGGATTCTCCTCAGACTTGGGAGAGCACATGGCCACAAATGTGTCACCATCACACATTAATGGCATATCTTGAGTGCCAAGACATTATAGCTAAGTCCAGGGGAGATCACCTGTGGAGTCGTACCCAACACCTGCATGGCTACCTGCCAGCTTTGGAGGTAGTGTCAATCCCCACAGCTCAGGTGCAAAGCACACACAGAGCTTTGAACTTCCTCAGGGATCTCTGGAAAGCACCAGGCTCCATGAAATGCTCAGAGTTGGTGCTTTTTTCTCAGGAAATACAATTCCTCCTGAGTCAGTTATTTCTTGTCTGCAGTATATCTGAATTTTCACATGCTGGGTTGCACACTTCAGTATGTCTAAGTCAAGCTATATCAAGGATGGACAAACAGTGGGGCCTACCCTTGATCATTGGGAAGACCATGTTGACAATGATTTTGTATGGAGCTCGTCTGTGTGAGGTGGTGTGGTGACAGCCCCATCAGTAGCGAACACCAAGGAGAAAAAGAGATGCTCATGTAAGAGAGGACTGAAGAAAAACCTTAAACCCCTCTGCCTTTGTTTGGCTGGTTCAGTTAGGTCTGCAAAGGGAGATCATGATCTGAATAAAGAGAGATGATTTTTACCAAACCTGAACAACCCCACAAGAATAAATCAGAGGGCACTGATTTCATGATTTAGTTCATTTTCAGGACTCGATTTTCCCTTCTAAATCGAGAGCACTCTTCCTTTTGTCTGGGTAACCAAGAGGAAAATCTAATTATTCCTGACTCGAGAAGCCCATTGCAGGTTTTTCTGGTATGGTTTGAAGAGAGCAGCACCTGGGTGGATCGTGAGTAAATTGTTCAAATTAATGTTACAAATTTTGTTCATCTTTGGTGTTTCAGGAATCCTGTGTTTCCTAATACCTGGCACATTAAAACAAGTGCAATCCCTCTTTTAAGTCCTGGCTCACTGGAATAACTGGACAAGGGTGGGTTGATGAGGGGGATTTGTTTATCCCAGGTCACTGTCCTGATGCAGGGGTGGGAGACAGCTGAAGTCACACTCCTTCCCATCTTCAATGCAGATTTTCTGACCCTGGCCTTTCCAAAACAGCCAATATCAATATCAAGAAGGAGTCTTAATTGGTATGGAATTCATTCATGGATTCATAAAACAGTCTGTATTGGAAGGGACCTCAAAGCTCCTCCAGCTCCAACCCCTGCCACAGGCAGGGACCCCTTCCACTGCAGCAGCTTGCTCCAAGCCCCTGTGTCCAACCTGGCCTTGAGCACTGCCAGGGATGGGGCAGCCACAGCTTCTCTGGGCACCCTGTGCCAGCGCCTCAGCACCCTCACAGGGAAGAGCTTCTGCCTAAGAGCTCAGCTCAGTCTCCCCTCGGGCAGGTTCAAGCCATTCCCCTTGGCCTGTCCCTACATCCCTTGTCCCAAGCCCCTCTCCAGGTTTCCTGCAGCCCCTTTAGGCACTGGAGCTGCTCTCAGGTCTCCCCCTCAGGAGCCTTCTCTTCTCCAGGCTGCCCCAGCCCAGCTCTCTCAGCCTGGCTCCAGATTAGAGCTGCTCCAGTTCTCAGCTTGTGGGCTCAGGTGCATCCAAGCTGCCCTGCACTTGTCACAGCCCCAGTTCAGAGTTGCCTGGGCAGGAGGAGGTAACTTGGGGGTTCTGGTGTGGGGGCCCTGGGCCCATTTTTCCTGTGGAGCAGTGCTGGTTTGGGTGTTGGAAGTAGAAAAGGGTGAATTTTTACTGAATTTCTGAAAAATGAGCAAAAGAAAAGGTGTTGGAGGGGGCACAGATTTGTGAGGTTTTCCTTTTTTTATGTAAAGTTAGAAAACAAATATTCTGTAATGACTCTAAGTGGTCCTAAAGGAGCCAATAAAAGTGTGTAATGACATTGAAATTTCCTATTTCTGCAGGGGAAATAAAGTGGAAACAGAATCTTCAACAAGATTTGTAATAACTATAATCTGTCTTTGTTGTGAGAGGATTAAAACCTTTGCTATGTTTTAAAGTACCAAGAAAATGAAATGCCATCAGCAGCAGAGTCCAAGCCCACCAGAGCAACAGGGGACACAACTGGAAATGAGTTTGGGAATACATGGAGCAGGAATGAGCTAACACACATTCAGAAAGAAGCTGCTGGTGTTGGTGAATTTCTTAGGATATTGGATTTCTTAGGACCAGAAAATCTTTTATCAAAATGAAAAGATTTTGATCCTGTAGCATTTGTTCAGCACTGTATTTGTATTTCAGTAAACCTGGTTTGCTTTGTTAAAGGAATTATGGAAATTAAACTTGGCCTATGGGGGGATCACCACAAACAGCACTGCCCTGTTCCTTTAAGCCATTCCCTGTGTTCAGTAGCCTCAGCTGTGGATAACCCCACCTGATAGGGATTGGGCTATTTTAATTCTCTAAACCTGCAGGAACAGGTTTCAGGGATCTCAGGTGATTCATTCCTTAGTTTAACTGTTCTTAGCAGGAAACCCTTTCCCTTTCTAGTGCGAGTTTCTTCTGTTGCAATTGAAGTCCATTATGGCTTGACACATACGGACTTAGGAAGCAATGTGTATATTACATGTTTTGTCTGGAAACCTAATATATTTGAAGCAGTTGGCTCTTTTGTCTGAGTAGTACCCAGTCTTGGAAACAGGATAAGGAAAGGGGCTAGAGTAATGGCCATGGAGCTGCTCCATTCATGGGCTGGACATGCATAGTACCTGATGTCTGCTCATGTGGTGGTGCTTATCAAGGTCCTGGGCTCCTTGCTGCTCAGTGGAGTCTCCAATCAATATGCATCTTCTTTTGGTTGCTCCTTTCTGTGATGGATTTGGTGTTTTGCTCAGGTAAGTGCTCCGGGGGCTCTGTCTCAAGTTTCAAGTTGGAAAAGCAAAGTACTACAAAGCATGTGATGGTTTCCAGTTTAACCAGTAGCATAGAGAGAACAACCCTGAAAGCTCAAAAAATCCCAGAACAGCACATGCATAGCTGATATGCTTGTAAGTTGGTTGGGTCATTGATACTGAGCTGCGCACAGGGTACATGCCCAGACAGAGCTCTGGGTTTGACTCCTTTATGAGGAAGGAAGTTGTAATTTAAAACTAAGCTGAGGTGAAATGGACTGTCAAAGGCTTGAGCTGGTTGCATATCAGCTTCACATGCTGATAGAATACTAATAATTAGCTTGAATAATGCTGTTTCAATAGTAATCTGTTTGTTTACAACCTGAACCGGATGAGATTTGACTAAAAATGAGATAAATAGGAGGAAAAAGCATAGGTGATAACCCTATGGGGGTTTGTCTTTAGGAAAAATGAAAAAGGGAATAAATTCTGAACAATGTGAGCAATGTGGAAATATACAAGAGAGACTGTTGATGGTGGTTCTTCATGGGTTTTGGCTTGGGGTTTTCTCTGCTTTTGGGCTTCCTAACAAGGCTGTAGGTTTTGGGGTAGATGATAAGTGGTTCAGCAGCAGTTAAAAATCATTCTGTTCCCCTTTCCTAAGTACTCTCTGGCTCTCTTTTCTTTAAATTTAGGTCTTCCTATTGTGTTTTCTTCACTCGGGTTTACCTCAGTAAATGTTGCTTTCATCCCCTTCCTCTGGGAGAACATCTTGATATTGCTGTGATCATTGTTGGGAGAGCTAATCTCTAGCATAAATGAAGAGAAGTCACAGAAATGAAAACAAATGATGGGAATGTTCCCAAGAGACCACAAATTTACTTTTCTAGATTCACAGCGAGATGCTTTGGGTTTGCTTCTGTGAGCAATTTAACTTGATTTATCCTTCCAACCGTCAATGAAATATCTATATATTGTATTTCTTCAGCAGTGGCTCTGACATCCAGAATTGTTGCCTCTCCACACACTTTTCATAATGAATACACTTCTGGCAAGTTTACTTCTCACAGAGCTCTTCTGTATCCAGTTTTCTATGGTTTTCTTCCGCTTACTTGTCTTGAGGTTCTTGTATTTAATCATGTTTTCTGCTGCAGAAGGAAAGAGGGCAGTAACTAGAAACACAGAATAAATGCTTTCTCTTGGACAGGGAACTGAGTTTCATGACTGGCTGCAGAGAGAGAGCTGAAGCTGATTTGCTTTTGAAGAGTTTGTGAGAAGTCGCCTTGAGACAGTGAGGTGGATGCTCTGTCTACCCCTCACTGAATGCTTTGTACTTGGTTGAAATTGCTACCAATTGGACTTTTTTTTCCCCCAAGCATCCTATATCGGATTGGGAGAGACATTAATACAGAACCCTGCATATGTCTGTCTGTAGTTTTGGGGTGCATTAGCCTGGGTTTTCAAGCTATAAGGTGAAATATGTAGCTGTGGAGATGAAATAGGTGGATGTATGAAAATGGGTTGGGAACCCAACTGCAGATGGGCAGCTGCAGTTGCTGGTTTGGCTGAATGGGCTTGACATTGAGAACAATAGGTTAAAATGTTTCTAAGCATCCAAATCTCCTAAGAAAACCCTGACAACCTTAAATTAATGTGCAGATAAAGGGGTTTGCTGAAGTTCCTGCTGACATCAGCAGAGTCGGGCTTCACCTCTTGGGTCATAATTGCTTAAATTTGGACAATAACAAAGAAAGCAGGGGCTTTGGCTGTCACTCCTCAGCTCTGTCCTGTTCTACGTCCCTGCGGAGATGCCTGATCCTTTCCCATGCTTTAGTCGTTCCACTTTACAATTGTACTTTTCAATCTGATTTCCAGTCCAGCCCTGGAAAACACGAAGCAATTGTTCTTGCCCTTCCTTACT